ATAAATGTAAAGTCCTCCTCCGAAGAAGAGCCACCGCCGTGGGACAGCGCTTTTTCGGATAGACACTTAATTTTAGTGTTTTTTATGAATAACCATGAAGATTCTAGGAAATCAATACAAATATGCCGCTGTAATAATGTTTCGGATGATTCGATACCGTTGACGGTATCGACTGATCCAATATATTGGTGTGGGATACTAGAAATATCCCCTTTCCGTCACTACGACATCTTTTGCATGTTTTTGTTTATGATGCATGACCATGAAATTTAATTATGCTAAGTCTTGTTCATACTGTGACTAGTTTTAGATAGTTTTTAGTTTATCACGGTATGTACAAAAAAAAATTAACTTCGGAAAAATATTTTGATAATAAAAGTGAAAAAAAATTGTTGATAAATTTGTGATAAATGAAACCAAATTAATATAAATATTGTTCCAATTAAAATCTATAATTAAGATTTCATTAATTAAATTCATCAGTTCTACCATATTTCTTTTTTTGCTTTATTATTAAACTGTTCCTGCTCAACGTCGATAATCTAATTCGGGCAATTAAAAGTACGCCATAATAAATGAAATTAGATGAAACCTTTCTCCAAGCAAAATTTGTGTTTTGTTTGTATTCAAATTACATTTTTTTTTATTTTCGGCTAAACTGGTCTCAGGCAGAAATTAATCTTTATAAATTTTTAATATGTCCACGATTTTGCTGATGAAATTTATTTACTCGAATAAAATGTAACAAAAATAGGAGACACATATTGGCACAAAAATTTTGCTCCAGAATTTACTCTAAAAACTGATTGAGCAAAAAGAAACATGAGTTTTCGAAATAAAATTCAAATTTTTATCATATTAACCAGGATAAATGTTATCATCGTTAATTTAATTTGAGAAAATTGAATGCCTAAAAAATCGTATTTAGATTTGACCCCAACTTGCCAAAAATTGCATTACTAAATTTGTCTACAAGTCTTTGAGCTAGGTGAAACTGGGCCTCGAATTGAGAGGAAACTGCAAAATACTGCATGCACTTCATAGTTCGAGAATATTTGCCAAACTTATTATTTTTTTAATCTACCAACTACCAAGTTTAATTTAGGGTGGAGGAGAGTTTCACCGAAATATTTAGGATAAAGACTTAAGCACAAAAAACATTAATTTTTAGCAGAGGCCATAATTCAATTCAGGACAATTTTTAAAGCACTCAAGTTTTCAAATAAATTAACCGACTTTGATGGGAAACACTTTAATAATAATTTTATATTTACATTTCATATTCGCAAAAACTTGATACAACAAATCTAAATTATTCTAAATTCCACCTCGGCCAAGTTTAAGATTTCGAAAACACATAAACCTCCCCCCCCCCCAAAAAAAATACAAAAAATTCCGCCAACTTTTCGCAAAATTAAATTTCTCATGATTTTGTAATTCATCCTCAGTGGAAGTGTGTCAGATTATGCAAAATCAGAAAGCGCAAAATTTCTATTTGTAAAAGTATTATGCAATTTTTCTAAAGAACTTCTGAAAGTTTTATTTAACCCGAAATAATTTTTTTTTAAATCACAACTCTTCACAAAATTTCGATTTCTCATCATATTTTTTATTGATTCCTTTCGTGCATAGCATATAATGCGAAGTGCGATTCACTATAACAATCCTTCATCCAAGCCATCATCCCCATATCCAAAATACATAATTATCTCATACTTTTCTCCCTTCCTTCCTGCGTCGCCAATAGATTTAGCAAGTCTTTCAAAGTTTAGCCTATCAAAATTAGCTCTTTTTTAATCATACAAAAACCTTTATGAAAAACTAAACCCGACTCACACACAAAATATTACGAATTCGTTTACATACAAATCTGCTCCAATTTTTTAAGTTAAATTCTATCCCGGCAAAATAATCGGGTAATGAAATTGTTACCGACATTGTAGTACACACTTTAATAATGATTTACTTCCGAACGGGGACACTGGTTCAGTTAAAAATTTATTTACTTCGAAAGATTATTGAATTTGGTACTTGTTGAATAAGGTCAAAAAGCAAAAGCCACATTTACCCGACGATTTTTGTATTTTGTAAAATAATCTTAACTTCACAAATTATGAAAGATTGAAAGGAAGCGTTTGTTAGTGATTTTTGATTGAAAAATATTTTATAGTTTTCATGTTTTGCTAACTGGCTTTTTTATTTACTCAAGATTGTAGATTCAAGTTTCTTTCACCAGCAGGTTGATGCTTTTTAGTATAAATGTCTTTTTTGCAAAAAAATTTGTTGTGTCACGTGAAAATTTGTACATTTTAATTATATTTAGTTCCAATTTCTATCAGTTGTTATTAAAAAATAAAATTTCCTAGTGTCTTTATTTTTCGTAAAAATTATGCTTGGGGTTAATTTTGTAGAGTAATTCGTAATTTGACCAGTTATAATAATCCTGATAAACATATCTTATAAATATGGACGGAAAATCGAAAAACTTGGAAAACACTCAAATTGGCAGACATTTTGATTATTTACTTTCAGCAAATTTATGTGTTTAATACTTATTTAATTGATTGTTTGATCACTCTTAGAAAACTAGTAGTAAATCATTACTGACCGGAGTACATATATAGCTCAACTCCAAGTAATAACGGGTATTACTGTTTAGTAATGTTGTCGCAATGAACAATTTACTACTCAGGAACAAACTACTCCTAATCCGGTAACAAATTATTACCAATATCAATAAAAGAGCAGATTACATACCTATGTCACTCTACCAGAATTTTAGCAGCGATTTCCAAAGGTTTCAAAAAAAATTGCCGGTTTGTATTAGATTTTTTTTGGCAGATTCAGCCGAAGTTAATTATGTTTTGGCGATTTCTTCTCCCACATTGAATTTTCCGGCTTGAAGGAAATGCATTCCTTTATAATTAGTAAATATTGAAATTTCAATTAAAAATCGTAATTTATCAGTTACTGCGATCCCTGAAAAATCTGGATTGGCTTCAAGAGAGTAACTTGGCGAGATAAAATAAATTTAGTTAAATTTGATAAGACTTGTCAAACTCAGATAGAGAAATTATTTATTCGAAATTAGATATATTTGCTAAGTCATATATTTGTAAAAATATTGTTGCAAAAAGTTAGATAAGCATACTTGAGAACGAAAATTAGCCGATCTATAAAATCAACATTTTCTAAAAATCCGACAAATTTTACAAAAATGAACTTTAGCTAATAAATCTTTTTTGTAACTATTTGTTACACTTGTTATACCTGGCTATAGTCTGCTTTTAACATGCAATTTTCTCAAAAATTCGTAATTGGCGTCATAAATATTCAATTCGATTTAAAAATCTTGTTGCACGTTGCTTCATATTAAAGTTGCCACCAGTTGGTGTTAAAATTATACTGGTTCGTACAAAATTGTCATAGATATGGTAAAAATTTAATTCCGAACTAATACTACACGGTATTATTTATCGATACCACTTTGGGAGAGTCATACATGAATACCGCTTGATATTATTCTAATCCTGGTTTTCAAAAAGTGTATGTATTCATACCTGTTCAAAAAAATTTTTGCATTCAAAGTTCAGTCATTCCGAATTCCGACTGCAGATTTTCATTCATATTCAATCATTTTCTTTCAAATTCATTTCACTTCACTTCATCGGACTTCAATTCTTATTTCGCCCCATGTATTAAGCATAGAATGAAAAATGAATTGAGTGAAGTCTTGCATTCAGACATGCATCTGCAATGACGGCATCTTTCAGTCTTTGTCATTCAAATGACAGGAAATTCATTTTCATTCAATATGATCCACCATCATATTCAGTCAAATGAATGAATGTGAACAGGTATTTATTATTTGTATTTCCAGTTTTTACCTTTCGGTCAAATTTTAAAAATTGTATAATTACATCACAGCTTCGAGTGTACAACCTAAGAATTATCCATTACATATTCAAATATTATAAAATATTAAATTAGGCTTCTAAATTAGTCAATTTTTTTAATTCTACAAATGCAAAATATTGTCGTCAAAAATTTCGACTTTCTCACCTCAACGAGTATATGTGACATTTAACATTCCATTCTATCCTTTTATTCACACGTTTTAATATCGATAAACTTGGAACATAACAAATAGATATAAACATTATTCAGGAAATAAACCAAACGTTCTTACTATTTTGCAAAATAAGGGTTAAATTTTATATTCCCAAAAACTTGATGCAACTCTACATAAAATCTCTATTTTCTCAAATTAAATTGTCGACTTTGATTGCGATTTATTAATAAAATTCCAAAAAATATTCTTGTTAATATGGTGGAACCGATTATTCGCATTATATTAATTAGTATAAAGTGTTAATGATGAATTGTAATTGGAACAAAATATTAATTGAGTTTAATTTACCAAAAATTTTATTATTCATAAAACTTGAATCTCTTGCCCTGGACGATTGTCTAACCTTTAAACAATTGTTAATAATCCGAATTTTGTAAATTACTCTCATGACGTTAATGACTATCTAATCTAACTAATTAAAAAAATTAAAAAAACTGGAATTCATTCATGTACCAAAATGTGTAAAAAAAGGAGCACATTTTTAGGAAGTTACCCTATTTTTTTATTGAAATCCTCATGCATTTGTCAGTCAGAAACCATGTTTCGAAAATTTTTGTGACCCAAGGTGCCAAAATGTTAGATCGGCAAATATGACGTGTTGCAATTTTTCGGAAACATTTGACTGAACAAAAAAATCGATATTTTCAAATTGTTCAATAAAAATCTGCCAAAAATGTAACCAAAATTCACAAAGGCGAGACAAAACTGGATTCGTCCGAATCCATACGGAGCCCCTTGAAAAATAGGAATCAAGAAGTGCAAAATTTTTGTATGCTCAAAAACCTTATGCAACTCAGTTAGTCGACCAAGTTCAAAATTTCGAAGTAAAGCCATCAACCCGAAATAATTCGAAAAAAATCTTCACAAATTTCGATTTCTCATCATATTTTTATTGATTCCTTTCGTGCATAGCATATAATGTGAAGTGCGATTCACTATAACAATCCTTCATCCAAGTCATCATCCCCACATCCAAAATACAGAATTATCTCATACTTTTATCCCTTCCTTCCTGCGTCGCCAATAGATTTAGCAAGTCTTTCAAAGTTTAGCCTATCAAAATTAGCTCCTCCAATTACTTTTTAATCATACAAAAACCTTTATGAAAAACTAAACCCGACTCACACACAAAATATTGCGAATTCGTTTACATACAAATCTGCTCCAATTTTTTAAAGTTAAATTCTATCCCGGCACAATAATCCGGTAATAAAACTGTTACCGAAATTATATATAGTAGACACTTTATTATTACGGAATGGAGACAATAATTCCGTTAAAAATGCATTTTCATGACAAATTTTTCATTAAAGATTGACAATTTCTTGCAGAATTATTGGTAATAAATCGTTACCACCACCAAACACCCAGTAACAATTTTATCACCGAATTATATCCTATTCGCAGTTACAACTTTTTTTAGCACAATTAAATAAAATAACATTCAAATCAGAGAAGAAACATCATCACATTTAACACGTCTAATTTTAAATTAATTCAAAAATGCATGCACCAACAGGACTGATTAGGTTATCAAATAATAAAGCGACAAATTTCTTAAATTTCCTAAATTCACGAAAACTTTGCAAAAAATTCGCATTTCAGTTCAATCTATGTATTTTCCAAGTATTTAATTTTATAAAGTTCTCGGACCGGCCGATCAATCCATGATTACTTTTTTTATATACGCACATTTTCCTCCTCCTGCCAGTTAATTATTTAGATTTAATTGTGACTTATCTAACTAATTAGTTAATTAATAGCCAAAATTCGTAGGGTATGTAGCATAGCAAAGAAAAATATTTTATCATGCTACACAATTTTAGCACTCACAATTCCAGACGATTACAACAAGTTTTGTATAATTTGTGTTCTTTTTTAAGCAGCAGATAATTCACGCCGAGTTTGTAAAGTGGGCAAAATTCTGTCCAAAATTTGAAATAAATTTAAAAAATTAGTTAGCTGCCTGTTCAGAATTTTGTAAAATTTTTGTTTACAAAGCTTGGCATGATTTTTTTATGTAGCTGTGATGATTTAAATTTTAAGGGCTGATTTGCATAGTAATTATTAATTAGTATTTAAATTATATCCGTCTTGTCTTGATCATCTTGTTGCTTTTGTTCTTGGTTCATTTCATGATAAGTAGAAGTTAGTTGAGTAGTTTAGCTTCGTTTTTTTGAAAATAATTCCTAGAAATTTATAATCCTCCGCCGAGGGCAGAGCTGTATCGGGTGGTGACATAGTCGGCAGCTATGGTCAGATCACAGAGGCATTGTTGAAGTCCGGAGAGGTGGTGGTGGAACGCGTCGGCGACCCCTTGCGCCATGTCGTCTTCGTGTTCCGCCTCCACGCCAGAGTCCTCGTTCAACTCGGAGAATTCTGGAGAAAAACAATTCAAAAATCGAAATTAGGTATGATTTTTTTGAAATTTTGTTAGAGTAAATTTTATGTAAAGGAGAGGACAAATTTGGCACATGTTTCTGAACCAATTTGTTCACGTTTTGGAAGTACAAAACTGAACAAGAATTAGAAATTATTGCATTTTTTGCAAAATTTACATTAGAACTACAAATTTTTCATGGTTTTGGTACAAATTTTGGCAAAATATTTGAAACTAGTTTAAATTTTGACACAATTGTTGACTTGCATGTTGAAAACTTTCTACAAATTTTGAAAAGTACCAAAGTTCAGCAAAACTATGCATATATGTAAATTGACAAAAAAAGGTTTGTTTAAACTCGAAAATTGACAAATTTACAACTTTTTAGCTAAAATCTTTGCAAAATCTTGTCCAAATTTCCCTCAAAATCCGTCATTCTTTTTTTCCTTCTCCGTACCAGTATCGCTCGCGGACGTGGAACTCGTCGTGCTGACGGTGGAAGGTCGTCGCGCATGTCCTTTAACACTTCCGCCTCCTCCGGCTTGACCATGCCCGTTCTGATCGCCTCCTCCTCCATTCATCCCATTAGGTACGAGTGACAACGACGCGTTCGACGACGTGTTGGAGCTCAACGTGCTGATAACCGAGGCCGCGGAGGATGACGTCGACAACGTGCCGGGTGGCATGATGGGCATCGTGGTGGCCACCCCGCCAGCCTTTCGGCCCCACATGAGGTCGTTCTTGATGTTGTTGAGGACCGAGTAGAATTGGTACAGGTCGACGCCATTCAAGTTCGAGACGATGCGATGGTTATCGACGAGCTTGGTGGAAGAAGTCCCTAAAAAGAGGAGAGAGAAAAAAATTAGAGATTTGCATTTTTTTTCAGAAACATCGAATTTTCCATATTTTAATAAACTCAAATATTTCATGGATTATGTAAACCTTGTCAAAATTGTAATCTAAAAGTGAAGGATTTATTTTTAGGTAGCAAAAATTAATGACATATCTGAATTTATCGTAAAAACAACAATCTGGAAACTTATCCGAAATTCGGGAATAAAATTCCATTTGACACGATTTTAACTTATGTTTTATTTCCAATTTTGTAACCAAATCTAAATAAGCTTGTAAAATATATAGCAAAATCATAAATCTCTCTGCAGGTTGTAAAGTTGTACATCAAAAAATAAACTTGTTTCAAAATTTTCAAGAAATTTAAAACTTGTCAAAAACATTTCTGAAAAAAATCCCAAAAAAAATTTTGAAAAAATCCCGAAAAAAAATCCAACCTGATGACGGCGGTCCGAACGCGCCCCCATTTGGGAGCCCCATTCCCGAGGTTTTTTCGAGCTGCGGAACCGGCGTTGGGGGGACGAAGGACTCGTCGAATTGCATGTCCATGAGGCGACAAGGGACTAAAATCGTTTCATTCATGTCGTCCACCGTTTGCACGAAGCGTTCCATCGACGAGAGCAGGCTTCCCGTCGAGTGAGACGTTTCCGGCTGGTCCCATCGCGACTTGTTGCGACGAGCGGAAGTTGGGCCGTTCGACGACGTGGAACGCGTCGTGCTGCAAAGAATAGAAAAAGAAAAAAATTAGTAAATATGTAAATTGGCAACAGTTTTTGCAATATTTTTTCATTCATTTTGCGAAAAAACTACATTAAATTATGTATACGTATTTTTGCAATTCTTTTTGCAGATTTGTAAATCAGTTTTAAATAAATTTTTGTCCCCCATTTTGCGAAAATACGTGTTTTAAATTCGTGTTTTTTACTATGCTTTTTGCAGATTTGTAGATCATTTTTGCAAATTGACAACAATTTATGCACCCAAATTTTGTCTCCCATTTTGCGAAAATACCGTTTTTTGCAATTTCTTTCGCGGATTTGGTACATCATTTTTACCCAAATTTTCCCACAATTTCCTTACTCCTCTCAACACCTGGGGAAAAACGTGTCCCATTAATTAATTACAAAATCCCCACATGAATTGTTCCTATTTTCCTTGTATTTCCCAAAGTGCAATTACCGAATTCTCTCCATTAATTATTTTATTGCTCGCGAAATGTCACTCATCCCAAAATTCCATTGTTTATACTTCTCCAATCCGGTTCAACAGCTTAAATATTGTGCAACCAAATATTCATAAATGTCAACTTCAACTCTGTCTTGTCTGTCCCGGAATAATAGATATTCCTAAGTTCCCTTTAAATAAATGGACAACTACGCAAATATTTAATTAATTGGGGAAAATTATGCGACGAATTTATAAATATCATCGAAAGTACGACGCACCATGACATTTTCAAACATGGAAGAAATACGTCCCTACTAAATATTTCAGTCGCAATCCGAAAAGTCGGACCAATTTCTAACCTAGCAGCCGTGCAGAAAGGATGTCATCGCTTTTTTGAGGAGGTCAGAACCCGAATTTTGTGATGACGTTCACCAAAAATAGGACAGAAATCGACTCCATCTTTTCCTCTTTTCTTCGACGTAATGAAATTATCGATTTTTGTGATCTGATTATTAACCAATTTGACTCCCTGAATAAGAACCTCATTAATTTTAATAAGCTTCTATTCAAGCTAAACAATACCTAAAAATACAAAGTTTAGGTAAAATACGCAGCACTTTCAGAAAATCAGAGATTTCTTAAAGAACAGCCATTTTATAAGAAAAAAAAACAAATCGATAACCACTTATCATTTAATTATTTAGTAACCCGTGCAAGTAATACATAAATAAAACTCTAAAATCTTTGGAAGAATTTGCGACCGAAAAACAAGGAACCGTTTTTTTTACACGATGAAACGAAATGAAGCAATTTTCCATTTCACAAGTATCATAACATGACATTTTCTGCTCATTCTTATTCAAATTGATTAAAATTGGCCAAGCTATGTACTTATCCGTGTCATGCCATGCCACGTTTTTGCCATAAATTACAAATCAATAAATGCGACAAAAAGTGTTCAAATGTGTCCAAGGTTTTATACATAAAACTCGGTCAATTTCTTGATGAGGCGCCGTGTAAACAGAATTTTGCTAATATTTCGCCGTCGCGTGACCTTTCGCATGTAAGAAATTGAGAAAAGCTGAACTGGCTGAATTAAATATTTCTCACAAAATCTGACCCGTACTGTAAAAATTTACTGTAAAAATCGATAAGTCGTTTATCTCCGACATGACATAAAGCATTGCCTAAAAAACCACTTTATATCGATAATCGATTACATCATCATTATATCATCATCACTACTTTGCTCTTTTGGTATCATTGACTCCGCAATCACGGCAAATCACTCAAAACGTCACAACCAACCAGAATCCTCATCATCACTTTCATTACTTTCGCCAATGTCAAATCAAAGGGCAAAGTTTGCAAAAATTTAGATATTTCTAATCAAAATCATGCACCAATTTCTGTGTAAGTTCTGATTATGTGTCCAAAATTTAGGGACCATTAACCAATAGTATAAATATAAATAATAATATTTAACTAAATACTATTTATGACATTTAGAAGAACGAAAAAGGTCAAGTTCATCACGATAAAGACTTATCCTCTCGGACCATCATTTACAAGCTGGGAATTTACGCCGTCAAGTCACAAATATGCATATATCAAGTTACGAGATTTTATGTCATTCACACTCATGGAAATACCAAGAATCGAATCAATTGACATTTAGTAATGTGTCAAAATTAAACCCAAACTATGTGACCTTTTTATTTAACAAGATTACGAAAAATTAAGAGATTGATTTTACACTAAATGGCTCATTACTTTTAATAAACGTTTATTAACCTTCCATACAAGTTTCGTAATCTTGTCGGCTAAATATTTCGTAAATTTTTGCTAAATTTTGTAATACATAAACTGGGCTTAAAAATCTGTCTGTCTCTGTACATATTTAGGTGGGTGGATTGGAAGTTGATATTAATTTGTCACATCCTGTCTTGAGCATAACTTGATTTCAGTTTAATTTAACCAACAACAGTTAACTTGCAGGATCGTGCGGAAAGGATGTGACCAATTTGTGAGAGGTGTCAGAGGTCAAATCTAAATTTTGGATGAATTTTTGACCCCCAGAGGTCAAAATTCTCTGGAAATAATTGACCACATCCTTTACGTCCGGTTTCTCTAACCTCTTTCCTGTCTTCATGACCAGTCATTTACATAAATATTCTCTCCGTTAACTACTTTAATTACCATGCATGTAAATTCAACCCTGCCAAATTTCATGGCCATCTACTCAACCGGAGTCATCAAACTTTCAACTAATTAAATACGATTTCTTGTCATAACATCGGGTAATCGTTATTTTAATTAAAAATGCTGCAAATGTGGTGTTAAAATCTGCAGTTTTATTCACCCTTGTCCCGAATTAAGCCCATTTTTAACAGAAAATGGCACAAATGGTCACAACATTATGTTTGGATCACTCCCAAAGCTAAAGAGCTCATACATATTTAGTAAAAAAAAATTAGGCCATTTGAGCCCAAGTAGAGTGCTATTAAACTAAAAAATTACACTAGTACGTCTAGTTTGATTATGTAAATTATAAAAAAAGTAATGAGATCAAATAAAACAAGTCTCTTCTAGACTACGACGCATTACTTTCCTTCACATATATCAAATTCTAGACAGATTTTTCAATTTAATTCGACCAGAAGAATGAAGTAAAAATTAAAAATCAGCCTAACATCATAACCATACCCCGGACAAATATTTTTTTATCCTACCCTACTCGTGTTGAGCTCAACACGAGTAGGGTAGGATAAAAAAATATTTGTCCGGGGTATGATCATAACAAACACCCATAAGGAAAATCAGATTTATGACCAAAATCCATAAATTTTGTAGAATTAATGCTCTTCAAATCTTTGTTTTACCGACATTTCAAATTTTTAAGAGAGGAAAAGCACTAAAATTGCGCCAGTTTTCCTCCTCCCTCATTTAACTTGAGTTTAAACAAATAACCAAAATTTCACAACAATTACGGCTAAATCGTTCGTACGTAATAAATAAGTATTTAACTGGAAATAATAATTTCTCCATTTATTTAGCTACGTGACTGACTCAAGTCAAGTCAAAATATTTAGAAAATCAAAAATATCTACCGAACCGACCAATCGATACTTTTGGCCAGTCACACCACCTTTCATTTAACGAGTCCAAAATATAAATAACTTGACCGACCCCAAAAAAATAAACTGCTTAATAATTTAGTAAAACTCGCTTTGTCCCTCCGTCCATCCGACCCGAATTCCAATAAAAACCAAACAAACCACCACCGAACCACCTGACCTATTATTTTTGGAACAGAAAGAACTCAATAATTCGCCAAATTCGGGACAATTCTATGTACAATCAAATTATTGCTGTCGTCATTCATCAATCATCATGAATCGGGTGACGACCGACCGGCGATGACAAATCCCCGGTCTTTTTTATGTATCGTTCGTGACTAATTTGAGGTACAATTACTGGGTAATCTTATCATCGTAATCGTTCTTCACACTGTGCAAATACTGTGCAAAAATACTGTGCAAATAATTAACTATTCGCGAAAAGTCGGGTCGGGATAATAATATGCAACCATATGATGATGATGCCTGACCCAACCCAACAATTAGCACAATTAACTTTTGCAATTAACTATTTTTAAACTATTCAAATAATAAGTATCGTAAAATAAGAAATTACCATAAAACAGCCTTTGAAGACATCCATGCTTCTTGATTCATCCTCTTATCTTACTTAATTATAATACTGATTCCTTTGACTTTAATTTAAACACTTATTATTTAACTAACTATTCTCTAATTAATTTCAGACTTAATATTTTCCAGTCCGTTGTGTGAGCCTGGAATGGATATTTCTTCGATATATTTTTTTAATTGAGCAAAAAATTTCCCACCCACACCCGGCGCCTGGACGACTCTCTCAATTAATTTTAATGACTAAATTGTGGTAAATAAATATTTCGGTGATTAATTAAGTATTTAGTTCACAATCAGTTATCTTTTTTCCTTTGATCTTTAAGTGATTGATGAACCACAAGTTGAGTAACATGGGCACAGAATTAATTCTACGACGAGGACGGGTTTGAATCCACTTCTTGGCGACGACGGCGACACCGACGACCACGCCAAACTGAGTGAGCAATTAACTAATTATTCTTCTTTTTCTTCCTTCCTAGCAGCAGCTGTTCATTATTTTCTTCCGCGGGGTCAAATTTTTAACAAATAACAACAGTCTCGTAGCCACCCGGCCCGGGTAATTTGGCAATTTAACTCCTAATTAATCAACAATTAACGTGAATAATTAACTCTTTCAGGTGGACGAGACCCAAATACAACAATACAATATAACAACAATAGCCAGCCCGGAATTTAAAAGTGAAAGTTTCTCCTCACACTGAATAATAACGACTAAACGACCATCTTTTTTGAATAACAATGATTATCTTCTTAGTTATTAGCTAACTGTAGTAGCGACACAGACGACGAGACAACCACCAACCAACTAGTAACTTCCGCCTCCTAAGATTTAGTTAGATTTCACTTTTTTACAATCCTCTCCTCCTCCTCCTTGTTTCGAAATCCGTCCAATTTCAAAACTTGAACCGTGTAATTTTCCACTCTAGATATTTTTTTTTCAAGAAACTTTCAAACCGTCTCTCTCTCTCGTAACAATTTTAACAAGTAACTAAATGTCCAATTTTTTCAATTTATTTAGGCTGCGTTGCAGCCTGGCCTGAACTTGGCCGAGATTATAACAAACAAGAAAAGTGGAATGTCTAGATTTTATTTAATGTGGTTAGTTAAGTTACCACATACACATACACACACACATCAAGTAGTTAACTTTAACTAAAGGTAGTAGCTCTTACTAATTTTCTATGAAATTTCAGACAGAGAGAAACAGAGAGATTCGTCGTCCATCCAACTCTTGACGAAGACTGACTACCAAAAAGTTTTGCATCGACGAGAAGAGCATCAAAACTGAGAGGAATATTGTATTTACGTGTCCACTTTACTTTACTTAAAGGTAGCCATTAACTATTCGGTATGTGTAATGGAAATGAAATGCAGGAGAGGATTGGATAAGTTGAGTAGTTGTGGAAGTACCCATCACGAACGACCAACGATCACACCATAAATATGACCAACCAACCATTACTTTACTTACGGTCAGCTAAAGCTATACAACATTTAGTGCATTAATAAAACAAAATATTTATCTATTAACTCTTTTTCCTAGCCTGACGCGAGGTAAATGCAGTGCTATAAGTATACTGTTAGTTAATACATACATAGACGGCTCAGCTCTGCAATGGGCTGTTATAATAATGGATGGATTTTTGCCTTGCTTTAAGTACTTACCTGTTAATTTACAGATATTTTGTTTGATGGATTTCTTAACTGACAAGTAACGAGCTGACCTGCATTATATTTACATATGTGGAATGAAAATGAGACGTGGCTACAATTTCGCTAATTTTGTTAAGTATTTTATTTATGTCGTATTTTTCTTCTGAATGAAATTACTCCTGGTTTTAAACGAGCTTTTTGTTACAGAAATACAGACAATCGACTCATTTACATGGACGAAGGCAAACAAATTGTGCTAATTTTTCCCACAAATTCTATGTACATACGTATTTCCTCACCAATACAAAAACCAGAAACGTAACGTCCAACGTGACGAAGGATTTCTTTTGTGGAATTGAAATCTCTTCAAATTTTTACTTTGTTCAATTTGATTCATGAAATGAAAATATTACCAAATTTCTATCCATTTAAGAATCAAGATCTGGTGGAAAATCGTCTCGGGGGACGTGCATGATCAATAAAATATTACCAAATTTTCATTTAAAAATGAAACATCGTCTCGGGGGACGTGCATGAAGGATCGCTGACCTCTTTTTTTCTGTAAGACACACACCAGTAAAATCCGGTCGCATCCTGCACCAGCCAAGTTTCATGCATTCCCTCAATCAAAATTATTTCGACCCTACGATGTTATACCTGTCCATTTTTGGACTTTGCACTTACAAAATAAGTAGCAGCCCCTCTCACTCTTTCTTTACAACTATCCTTCAACATACCATGACCCCTATAAAAATAACTCACTAACCATACACACCACTTTCTATCGCCCCACAAAATGCATCCCTCCCTTGACTCATTCATTGCAATATGGGCCATCACAAACTTACTTTTGCAAAACAATGCGATGCCTTTAACTAACTTGACAGGATTGCATTCTCCATTGTTGCATCATCCATAATAATAATGATAAGTTCTATCATACCGTTTTTTTATGATACTTTTAGCGATGAAATGATGACTAAAACTAAATACGAAACATATTTAACTTTTTAACTATAGTTTACACATTAATTAAATCAGTAAAAATCCATATTACAAATATTGTCCCAGGAATTTACACATTACAGACAATCAATTTTAATCACGTCACAGGTATTCTTATCCAAGAAAAGAAAGAACAATTATTGTCCCAGGAATAAGAAAATATGTAAATCCCTGGTCAACATTTAGCACGAAAAATAAATAAATCGACGCTAATTTCATTATAAGGCAAATTCCTAGGAAAAAGATTTACCTAATGTGATCACACTTAAAAGAAATGGCTGACCGACTAGTGCGTCACCAAATCCAAGATCAACTTTGTACTTATGTATCACCTTGTCCCAGAAGACTCAAGTTTACGCAAGTTTGTTTGTACCTACATAACTAACTAATTACAAGGGTAATCTTCTCTCCCAGGTAAATATTTTTCTGAGGATTGAGTCTTCAATGTAGGAAATCTTCTTTAAAAAATTAAATTAGCCTTAATTCCAAACCTCTAAAGATTTATAAGTTAATTTTTTTGTAATCTTAATTTTTCTACTATTATTAATTTGCATTATGTATGCATTAAAATTTCTACGAGTCTTTATTCGACAAAAATATAATTTACAGTTTACTTACATGTCGAGAGATTTATTTTGCAAAAATTTAGTATCGTATTAGATATTAGATTTCTAGGTGGCTTCTCCGTGATTTTGATATTGCATTTTATACGAATCTTCTTAACTTTATAAAGTAAATGAATTACTTTGATAGCTCGCTATTTGACAATTTTTCCTAAAAATCTTGATGACTCGACAAATTGAAATATTTTATCTTGCATATAATCTTTTTTTATGCTGAGAAATTTATACTTTCCAAAATTTCTGTATAAAAATTTACACCGATCTGCGTATATAGCTTCTGAGAGTTTAATAACTCCTTAATAAAAGACAACCAGTCAAAAACAAGGAAAGGAAATAACAAATAAAATCACGAAAATTATTCCAACCACCGGACCGGAATTATAGTCGACTGCTTTAAAATATGGGATTTCCCATCTAACTAGAAAAAAATCATACCTAGGCCTAGCCAATTAGCCAAAAATTCGTTGTATGTATGTACAAAGAGTGAAATCATTGCATAATATTTGTTCTCGAGGCTTCTTCTTGTTGTTGTCTTGATCAGATCAGACAACTCGTGAAATTCAGCCGGGTGTGAATTTTTATTTTTACATGGTAAATGCATTCATATTTTTGGCGAAATGTTGTCCAGATTTCCATGATTGATAAATTGGTGGCGTGTTGTAATGAGTCATGACTAATCGGCATAGTCACGTCAATCCTGGAATGAACTGGAATCGATTTTGGGAAATTATTTTGTAAAATATCTTAAAAAAATACTGTCAGAAATTGCAGACACAGTTTTTCAAAAATCTTTACGAAGGTTCTGAATTACGGAAGAGTGCTCGTAATTTCATATTTTCAAAAAAATCGTATTTCATAAAATTTGGCCGAAAATTTCCATGTTTTTGCAAACGATTGCGATTTTTGCAAATTAATCACACAAGCGTAAGAATCTACTACCTCTACGAGAAACAAATGTATTAAAACTTTAAATTAATGACGTCCTACATTACATTACCGTCCTACATTACATTTAATTAATTAAATTCCTTGTAATTTTCGTAATTCATAATTAAAATACCAAGTCTCAAATTTTCCATGTATCATTTTATCACTCAAGCCTAAAATTACACAGAGAACGCAGAATTTTGCAGAAATCTTGGCAAATTCGAAAATTATTTTATTATTTACATTATCCTCAATTTGTTTAGCCACCTTTGACGTGGTTAAAAGGTGCAAAATAATTGCTACCTGTACTTAAACCTACGTGCGTGCATAGTCCATCCACCACACGGTAAATATTAAGGCTGAGAATTACAGCTTGTGTGATGCACACAAAATACGGCTGGGATTAAGATTAAAATTTACAACGTTGCAAAAATGAAGTGTCTTCATCTTAGCTAGAATTTGCCAAATTTTAGGGAACGTGCAAAAAGCCGACGTCACTTCTTGTGGTAATCACTTGCTAAAATTTGTATATATCCTTTCTGCACCCTCTGATGGAAAATCCCTGACTTTTCAATGGCAAATTAAGATAATTTACTTCGCAGAAGCGAGAACCATATGATATAATAATATTCGTGCAAAAACGCGTCACAAATTGCTAGGAAATCCAGGGTTTTCATTGTTATAATATAAATAATAAGTAAATTAGTTGGTCGTTCTGGGCAAACGCGTAGGTTTTTGTGGGTCTTGTTAAAAAAGTAGAAAATTCCGGTTGATCTGATTGTGAGAAGAAACAAAGGACAAAGAAATGTCCCAATTTCTTCGTGTGAAGGACATTTTGATGCAAATTTTAAAGAAAGAAATGCACAAATTTTACAACGTATGTATGTAAATTTCTACATTTCCTCGAGTCTAAATTAGCAAAAAATTAAGATAATAGGGATTACGTGCAAACTTTGCGTTACACATTTCATTTCGTCCAATTTCTCGCTTGCTACATGTTTTTTGTGCAAATTAATCTGCATCAGACACAGTAAACTGTGTAATTCGTAGCAAAAAAATATTTGCACTTCGCAGTAGCAAATCTCAAACTGTGCATAAATTTTGCTCAATTTTAGTTCAAAGAATACGATTTATTGCAAATTTGCAAATTATGTAATCTATGTACGCTGAAAAATAAAGACATGACTTTTCTTTGCAAAATATTTTTTGCAAAATATGTACAGATTTCTAAGTATGTTTGACATGACGAAACGCCTACTCATTCTGGGGATAAGCGCTTATCAATATCAATAACATCGTACCACCGGAAAGTAAACAATTTCCAATCTGGATACATCCAATCATAAAAAAAATAAATACGTGGGCTGATTACACACTGATTTCTCCTTCTCGTTATATTTACTGATCCAATTGACTTTGCCCAGATTCGCAATTTGAGTCAATTGCCAAATCCTATTTTTCGCAAATGTACCGTATACCGTGTATAAATGTAGCACGTGATCGATTTGCAGGGAGGTCAAGGTTTCTCATTTTAATCCGAAACTTAAGATTAATCACACGTTTTATACAAGTGCAAAAAAATACAATTTGCAAATAAAAATCAAATCCAAATTTCGGATTCCATGGCATTTTAACCTAAACTCAAATACTATTTGTATAAAGTTTTTGCAAAATAAATATTTGGCAGCTAAATTGCACAGTCAATTCGAATCTTATTTTAGTAGAAGTAGTAGTTTTTGTCCCTAAAATCAAAGATGATTTTGGATTTAATTTAGGTTTTTGTACGAAATCAAATTTGGATAAAAAAAATTTAAATCCATCCATTTCCTCCTGTCCAAGAATAAGTAATTATAAAGTTTGCAGATTTTGGCATAAATTTCGCTACCAGCATTATTTACCATCTCGTATGATAAGTTTAAGTTTTGCATAAATAATTCAAAATTTAATTAAAACACATTAAAAAAACAACAACCAACAGAATTACAACATCTAAATGGATGAAAGTACCGAAATGTTTGTAAAATAACTAATTTTGGAGTTTAAATTGTACAAATTTTGTGCAAATAATAATTTTTTCAAAATTAAAATTTAGAATTTTGAAATGAAATCTGAAATTGGTTATTTCTTGTCCAAATGAGAAGCAATTACAAAGTTTACTAATTTTTGCATAAATTTCGCCCCATATTCGCTATAACTTTAAGTTTTCAACAAATAATTCAATATTCAGTTAAAAAACCTAACATTTAACAAAAACCAGATTACCATCAGAAAGCAACGATATCTAAAGTAATAAAAGTGCCGAAATGTTTGCAAAATAGTTATTTCGAGGCTTAAATTGTACAAATAAGTAAATCGTTTTTTATTTTTTATTTAAATTTAAAATTTTGAAATGAAATTTGAAATTTTATATTACCTTCCGGTCTGCATCCTATTAAAGGAACTGTGCAACTCTGCGAGGGATGACTTTCTCCGCGACGGGGCATTATCATATAACATACTTTCTCCTCAATTAGCCCCTTAATTTCGTAATTTATTCGTCTTCAATCTTAAAATTTTCAGTGGTCAATTTCCTTTCTCTCTCCCAATAATACTGGACAGGCCACACTTTCATATAACTTTTTAAGTTCTTTTGTATAAAGTAATCTTCCCAAACTTCGAGCAAAGATGGCATTGGCACTTTCAATTTCGGGGTCAAAATTAGTTCCACCAAAATTTCAGTAAAATCTACTAATTCTCTAAGAATTTAAAAATTTATACAAGTTTTTAAATTTCTTTGTCAAAGTTTGCAGCACATTCTGCTTCAAAATCTATCAATTCCTAACCTCACGAATTTCAAATCTTCACAATTTCAAATCTTCACGAATTTTAAATCTTCAAAAATGTCAACAGTTTTAGATTTCTTGGGGCAAATTAGAATCAAATTATTCTTTATTCTTTAATTATTCTTTAAAAGTCAATAAGTTTCAAATTTTCGCCAATTTCCACAGTTTTCACTTTCTTTGGGAAAATTTGCACCAAAAATTCAATTTCACAAATAATTCACAAGTTTCAACCGATTTATTCGAGAAAATTAACCCTACAATTTTTTTAAATCTTGAAATCTATCAATTTTTTAAATTCACACGTAACACATAAATTTCTTTCAAATTTCCTTTAAATTATTGCTTAATTTTTTCCTACAAGATACAAAATTTTGTACTTTTCTCTCTAAAAAAATTAAGAATTTATGGAAGAGATCGCGATTGTTCGAATTCTAAGTTCCCAATGAATTTGAGAGTGAACTGACTCAACACGAAATTTGCTCACCACAAAAAAAAATCAGCCAAACTCACAAAGTCACCGACACTCGGAATACACCAAGATTTTCAAATGCAAGAAAGAATGTCGTACGATGTTGGGCAAACACCAGTAGAAACAGTTTGAGATCGTGCAGAGCGAATGTCTGCCCGGGTAGCGTGTTACCCGGGTAACGATTTCTAGCCAGGAAAAATAGTGCCAGACCCTTCACCACCGTAGCGTCGGGTAATATCGGATTCCGAGAAATTTCTATCCCCTTTCTCTTACACAATACCCGGTTCAATCCAGATACCCGGCTTCGGGTAACTCCGCCCCCACCCAAAGCTGGCAAAATAGTGGTCATGCCATGCTACATTATTTATTTGGCATGCATTTCATCTTATGAAATCATGACGCATCTTCGTGCAAAATAAATTACATGTCGAAGTAAATCTGACTCTGTTAAATCGTAGTTTAGTTAGGATTCAAGTAAATACTGAGACAATTCACGCAGTTCTTGGTAACTTCGTAAAATCCACAAACTGACCTTTGTCAAATTTTACAAATATTCCTAAGGAAAATTAGCTTACACATTTTTGAAAACTTACTCCGATCAAGGGCGTCTCTTTATTTTGAAATGTTTGTGAAATTATTTTACAGAATTATAGATTGTACAAAGTTACCAAGGACGGCGTAAATTGCCGCAATAAAAAATAGCGAATTTTCGTATTAAAAAAGTTATCAAAATTTATAATTTTGAATTTTCATTTCATCCCACATGAACCTGAATAGAATGTAAATATAATCTTTGGTTATGAGAATAAATGATATTAAATTCGTTATTTAATTAAATTGACGCGGAAATCCGTCATAATTTGTAAACAAAAAAATATCGCCAAGGATCCAATAATCAATTAATCGATCAATCAATCAGCATGAAACGAATCGTAAACGGCACTTCTTTCCTCCTCTAAAAAAATTGGCATCTTCCTCTTTCTCGCATCCATCCCATTGTTGGATATATAGGATTCATTAACAGGTTTCTATCTTTAACGACCATAAACAATGCCACTTTTATTATGAGACCAAAGTGAGTCCCATAGTGAATAATATGTGTTCAACCTTGTGCCAGTGGTCTCAAAAAATGCGATGACAAACAGACAGACCACACAATATTATGCAGTCTCATCTCGCCATTTAACAATTCGTTGAGGGGCACGCTTAATAATTTTGTGGTAAAATTTTTTACCGAACTTGGTAACTATTTGTAAGGATTTGGTACTTGGATTTGTGGTAAATTTTCAGGGAATGGTAATATTGCAGGTGGTATAAAAGAAAATATGATCAACTCGGTAAAAATTTTGGTAAATGTTTTGGTAAGCATTTTGGTAATAATTTTGGTAAAAATCTGAGAAAAATTTTAAGACCAATTTTGGCGAACATTCTGGTAAATATTTTGATAAAAATTTTGTTACCGATTTTTGTAACACTCGATTTTTTAACAATTTACGTAACCTTCCAAACTTTTACTTAAAAATCACTTTTTTGTTTAACCAAACTGACACCAAACTCTTACCAAATTTGTAAAAAATAGCAATTATTTAAGTACAAACTTTTACCAAACCGGTAACAAAAGAAGTCACCTTGGTAGTAAATTAGTTTCCAATTTATTTAGCGTGCCGGTCTCCACCTAAGTCACACAATACAATGGTACGATAGGTACACGTTAATTCTCATGAGCAGGAGGATAAAACATGAGAATATTTGCATATGCTTTTCGCATGCAATAATTACGATCGTTGTTGTATTTACGGCACGCACATAAATATTTCGCAACATCGCGTCCCATCACCTTCCTTGCCATTCTCATTCTCATGTGACTTTTATTAACGGAACGCTAACTGATAATCATTGCCAAAATGGGGAATGATGCAAATTGGGTATCAATTAGTGCAAAAATTTGAACATGTGACTGACTAGGTATAAAAAATTTGCAGTTTTCAAATTTAAAAATTGATTTCTTCGCGAAACAAAATTTGCAAAGCTTCGCAAAATATTTTGCCTCTCGAGTGATCCAAATATTTACTACTTTTAATTTTACAAATTTACTACTTTTTAATTTTACTACAATACAATGTATGTAATTTATATAATGAATAAATAAAATTACAAATTGGGTATCAACAATCAGTGCAAAAATTTGATCATGTGACTGACCTTGTTGTATACACAATTTTGCAGTTTGCAAATTAAAAACTTGTGCTCTTCGGAAAACACAATTTGCAAAAAATTTGACTAATCGAAACATCTATTACATTGTTTTAACAAAACAATAATATGAACTTATATCATTAATGCGTGGAATTACCCAAAAATAAATTTGCACGTGCAAAATAGTCCCCACCACGACCGGTTTCTCACCGATATATCAAAAACAGATCTTTTTACTTAACACCACTAAAACTTTCGCAGCAAAAAATAATTTCTCACGATATCAAATTATTTAATGGCAAAAAATTGTTTTCGCAAACTGCGACGTAAATAAATTTGAATTGAATTGAATTGAATCATAAACTTTTAAATAATTAAATTTCATTTATAACATTTCCACCAATAAGAGAAAAAGTTATGCAGAATTTAAAAACGAAACTTGATTCACATTGAGGAAAGTAATTTAGGCAAAAATAAAATCCAGGCATATAAAACTGGAAATAAAACAAGCAACACAAAATTTCGCAATTTCATGATGATCATAACAATTAAATTTTTGCGCACGTACGTACAAAAATAAAAATAACAATAATAACTTTAGATCTAATTAAGTGTAACAACCTTAACAAACGCAAAAAATTATTGGCAACGCCAAAATTTCGCAAATAACTTGACTTTCTCTTCGGTTTTCGGATTCAATTAACATATTTACATACGAATCAAAAATATATTTATGCAAAATACATTCAAAAATTATTAGCGATGGTCCAGCAACATCTAATCCAGTACAAAAACATTACAAAACATGTTGCAAAAATCATTATCAACGCCAAAATTGCAAAAACTTGACTTGTTCCTGATTCAATTTATAAATTCCAAAATAAAATTACCGATTTGCAATATAATTACAAAATAATAATTGTGAATTATCTAATTGCCAAAAATTTACTCAGTTGCAAAATATTTCCATTGCAAAAAAGAAGCTTATTCAGTTTGGAATCTTAACAATGCCCAATTTCATGAAAACCCTGCTCTGACGCTGCTTAAATCTCATTCAAGGTCAAATCTTACCCGGTGTGAAGGAACTGGAGAAAGTATCGATTTTCCTCTGATATTCCGGATCTAAACGTGGTCACAGGTTGTCTCATTTTACCTCAAAAACAGAACTTTCTCCTCCACTAAGCTTTCACTTTGCTCGCTTTCTGTATCTCACAACGACTGCGAATAAGTTACTAAAAGCAAAAAAATCAGAGACACGAACAAAATATGTAAGGCAAGCATTATTGTGATTACGCAGATAGGTATCTACGTGCACACAAATTGCATATGTATGTATGTATTTCCCTAGGTTTTCCTTATGAGGGAAATAAAGGTAAATATTTCGTTCATTGTACAAAATATAATACAGCCGATATGAAATTTTGCAATCGAGAGGGATGGACCCTGCGTAAAAGGTGGGGCTGATTTTTCGCGAATTTACAACATCTAATGTGACACGTATATTAAAATTAGCATGAAAACGATGGGACAGTTACAACCAGAGAAAAACGCCCACGTGCCTTTCGTACGGTCTCAAATTCACGGTTGAATCGATCTAATCGATGACTAATCAATTATTCTTTATAGAAATTGTTTTGGGCATGATTTAGCTAAAAAGAAGCATCGGGATTACATATGCTTCACTCTAATCTTCGTAATTTTATGAAGTGTGGAATTTTGTAAAATTGTGGTAAATAAAATATTCCTTAGTTTGCGAAAGTTTAGAGCCGATGTGTGATTTATTTTCTTTCGTAACATTTACAAAGTCGTAGATTCGTTGAGAAGATGTATAGGTTACAAAGATTGGTATGAGTCACATCTTTTAAAATTTTATGTGAACGCAATTCATCATAAATTTCTAAAATTTTCGAAAATTGGTAAAAATGTAAATCACATAATTTAACAAGTGATATTATTGAAAATTTTGTCTTCTTTTTTTCCCATAATTTTTAAAAACTTTTATAAATTTACGACCTTTACAAACAATCAAGTACTTAAATTACTTTTATTTTTATTTTATATAAGTAATAAATTTAAATAGGTATCAATTAAATATCGGATTTAATAGTTATTAACGAACATAAATTATTTGCTATATTTTTCCTTCATCACATTTAATCTGCTAACGTCACAATGCACATGACTTCTGAACATTGATAATCTCATTTCGCAAATTCCCTTTTTTATCGGAAATTAATAAACAGAATGCAGCTCGTGATGCACTCCAAAATCTCGTGACCAACCACAACATCAACCACACAATTGAAAGTATTGGTAAACTTTGAACTCTGTGACCACAACATTAGCTACGCACACACTGTTAGAAATCTGGTATAGTCAGGCAGGTATTGATTTCTCGGTATTAAAGTTGTTACAGCTTGGTATTAAAATTATGCCGGTCCGTCAAACTTTGCTACCGGTATGGTAAAACTTTAATATTGAGCTATTAGTTAAAAAAACCAATAAAAAACCTTTCTAACTTTGAAAAACTAATAGTCTAAACTTGATTGCAAAAATTTGAGTAAACTGTGCATCCCAAAATTTCAAAATTAGTCGTTCTTATCATGCTCAAAAATATTTGGAGACGTTTTAATAGTTAGTTATTGAAGCAATTCACGCAGTCATTTGAAACTTTGCGCGAAGTGCGTAAATTTTGTAACATCATTTTACAAACTTTTAAAACTTAAAAGATGCCCTTGATCTGAGGAAGTTTACAAAAATGTGGGTACAAATTTTCCTCAGGAATGTTTTTATAATTTT